CAAGGTGTTGTTGTTGTGCGGCTATTGCTGTTGCTGTTGCTGCTGTTGCTGGTGTTGCTGTCGCTGCCGCTACTAGCAGCAGCAGCAGCAGCAGCAGCAGCAGCAGCAGCAGCAGCAGTAGTAGCAGGAGTAGTAGTAGTAGTAGTAGTAGTAGTAGTAGTAGAAGTAGTAGTAGTAGTAGTAGCAGCAGCAACAAAATACTAAATAAAGAACAATAGTAGCAGTAGTACAGTAGAAGTAGTAGCGAGACCTGTTTTCCGCTACTACCTCCAAAGCACCACGACGGCAACTCCTACTGCTGCTGGTCCCCAGGCAATAGCTTCTTCCTACGATGACAGCTCCTACTGCTGCTTCTTTCTGCTGCGCTGCTAGTCGTGCAACTTGCTATGTACGGCTTCTGCTGCTGCTGCTGCTGCTGGGACGACCGCGATCATCCCACACGAACAAACATGATCCTTTCCCGAACTTCCTCTTTAACGTTTGCCTGAAAAGAATGGAAGGTCGCAAAAGCTTGTACTCACAATGCAAAAAGCTTCACAGTATCTTTTTGAACTTGGTCTCAGGGAAGCACCAAGGTAAGCAGTGCGAAAGCGTCTCCAATCGGATGTGCGCAACGTCTCGAATGACCAGACTTTCTCGAGCTCCGCTGACTGCATGGCATTGCGTTGGCCAATGCTTTGGTTGTGTGTGTGTGTGTCACACAGTGTCTGGCGTGTCTCTGAGTGTGTGTGTGTGTGTTTCCGCATTGCATCCTGATGATGGTTGTACATCTGTCAGGCATGGTGACGGTCAAAAGCTGACAGCGCTGTTGAGCAGTAAGCAAGACTTTTCCTACTGATACATATTGGAGCTAAATTCTCACCATAACCTCATGGTATATCACTGAAAAGTCGACTACGTTGGGGAAGACATCAAACATCCCGAACATCCCCAAACTGCAGCATAGTGCACCACTGGAAACCACTTGAGGACTGCACCACGACCCCGACCACCACATGATGCCACAAGTCCTGGACACTCCCCAAACCCGAAGCATTTTCAGCCTTTATCAGGATGAACGGTGCTGACACGAATGAAATGTACCGGCATTGCTCACAGAGGTACAGCACGACAGCCGAACGATGCACACTGCCCATGCCCACTTTGCGCACCTTAAGCAATGGATGCCAAGCTGCCTGTATGTACATGGCTGGCCGTCCTAGGCTGCCGATTTCACCGGCAGCTGCAACCAGCTTTTCTGGCCAAATGCCAAGTCGCAGGGATCCTCTGAACATGAGTGGGACTAGGCACTACCACCAACACCAATCTCTGAGACTTGGATTTGGACTTGAGGCCGATTCACATGGGGAACTTGAAGCGTCTCTGCTTCTTCCATGGTGGATCCTGAAGAGCATGGACGTCTCAGAAAGTAAGGAATTTGGTAAGGAACTCTATGAGGCACTCGTCACCCGACGAAACCATCACGTGTGCTGACCACCAAGGGATTCACAACGCCGCAAAGGTGGTTCTGAGGGCTGCACTGGCGGATCCAGATCCACCAGCAGATTCACCTTTGCATGCAATGGCAACAACAACAACAACTTATTACTGATAATGCTGACACGTGGTGATGAACATGCATAAATGGTACAATAGATGGCGGAAGTCATTTGGAATGTCAAAGAGTCGGGCGCGAACTCAGGACTGGTCGTTGAAGCTTCAAGGACCTGGGGTGATGGCCACGCCAGTGCCGACAGCAGGAGGCTGCCCAAGCACGATAGCGCTTGCAGGCGAGATCATATTGTCCAGGAGATCTTCCTGACGAAGTGCGTTGAAGCGTCTCGAGGTTTTCGAGAGCGTCACAGTGGTTGGGATGCAGAAAGAGCAGCTAGCCTTGCACGCGCCAGACAGGAACTGCATGGTCGTCTCGTAGGACATCTGCAGTAGTGGCGATGTACCTGGGCATCTTCCACCTGCTTTTAGTGGTTCGAGCAACCTCTGCCAGACTCATAGCTGAGATCGTGACAATGTACCATCCCCATGCGATTGAACCTGGCTGAGAAACTGCGGCAGTTCAGCGAGTGCAGGGCCGTTCGTCACCAGGCCAGCAGCACGGCCGCAAGCCACCCGCTTGGGCCATGTAGTCTGCAATCAGCGAAAGGTGGCGGTGATCCACCTCTGCACAACAGACAATCCATTTATCCTGGACATTAGCAGTGCCATGTCGGGCGGGTATCTACGGAACTCTGCGATGCCCAAAGCCTGAATCCCGTAGTGGCCAAAGACACCGCGAACTTCTCGGACGACCTCAGCGTTTGCTCTGAGTACATAAAGCCGGCGCGGCCCGAGCTGCCCTGCTACCACTACTGCGACAACTGATGCTGCTTAGACCCTCTTGCCGGGACGAGGTGCCGATGCACGTGCAGCTTCAACCCCAAAAGTCTCCAGGACGTGCCTGGAGTTCAGAAGGCGTGCTGAGCCTACCGCGGAACAATCCCGCTACTACTGCCATCCGTGTAGGGCATCTGTATGCCGAATGCTCCCCGACCCAAGCGGTGAACCTTCAAAGCAAACCGACTACAAGACTGGTCGATCCTGATGTTGTTGGTGTAGATCTGGCTGTGTCCTACCTGAGACATGCATCCAGAAAAGGATCCTTGAGTTCTAAAGGCTTTGCTCTTGCCAGGGTGGGAAAATCGGAATGCGGAAGCGACGAAGTCTGTCAGGGATATCTCCTTTTCAGGCTCCTAGAGTCCTAAAGCCAAAAGCACGAAGACTGGGGTGAGCCAGTCTGTCTCCTGCTTCTGAGGTGCAAGTGTGGGAGGCAAGCACAACAGGCCGAAGAGGTTGATCCCCTCGCACTCCAGGCTCACCTCGCCGAAAGCCAGGGCTGGGCCCCCCCTCCCAAAGATGTCACAGCCACAAGGTAGCAACAGATAGCAACAGAACCATGGCGCCTTGTCGCTCTCAACTTTCACATGAACTGCCTCCACCCCGTCGCAGGCAGGATCCTGGCTGTGGTTTGCATCAGGCGAAAGTGTCTTCGAATCCTGATGTGTGCTGCGAAGATGATCGCAGATGCCACGCGAAGGCGACTGTCCTGCAATGTTGCGGTAGACAGAACTCCTCGCAACACCTCGCCGGAACATGCAGATCATGTGACGAGCGAATGGACGTACGTGCAGCTCGAAATCCTGAACGTCTGACAACAGAGCTCAAACTGCAAGAGTCGCGAATGTTTCCGGCGGTACAGGCTCGCACCTCCCCAACAAACAGACTGTGAGGGCACCTCATTGCAGAGACAGCACTATTAGAGTTAGCGAGACACTGACGACGACAACAACATGCCAAGGAATCCAACACAAGCCCTGAGCTTCTGGCTGGGAATGGTTGTGGTTCACGATGATCGACATCCTTGCCAAGGCCAACTCTCTGGCTCTTTTGCTACTAGTACTTTGCCATCGGGCGAGGGTTGGGGTACATGCTTCATGCCGAGGAGCAGTAGGCAACAGGGCCAACGAGCCTAGCCATACCTACCCCGCCCGAGATACAACATCTTCGGTGCCGTGCAGGTCTGAGGTCTCTGCGAGTCGCCCCTCAGCTCTGATCGCCAAACCAGGTTGTCTTCCTTCAAAGCCTGACGCAAATCAATGGGCTCACTGGGTTCAACAAACCCTAAACCCTAAACCGTAAAAAAAATGTCCTGGCTGCTGCCTCGCCAAGGTCCTTCTCCGGCTGGCTTTGCAAGGAAGCGGCTTTGTCTCCGAGCTGCCGCGCCTGAAAGCCGCCGAACTGCAGCAAGGCTCGGCAACAGCAAGTAGAGCGTTTGAGGCGGGGACGCTGCTGCCGGTCTTGGTCTTCCGGTTCTTCGAGCCTTCCTGTTGCAAGGCACTTGGTACCAGTCGTCGGAAGCTCAGGATGTGCAGTGCGGGCGTCGCTTTGCTTTTGAAGCCAGCAGCAAACCTCTGCCCTGACCGTTGTCATCCGCTCTCATAGGTCTTCCACCGGACTCTTGACAAGGAAACCTCTCAGCCCGACTTCCCGAAGCCGGAACCCCTGTTGTCCATTTCCCTAAACCCGTCTGACTCAACCATCAAAGTTCCAATGCAAACTGAGCCCGCAATCGTGAATGCACGAAATCGCACCTGGGTACCGGTCTTGGCCTTCTGGATGCCTGTTGCACGGTTGCTGCAAATACACACAAGAGCACACAAGGGGATCAATGAACACGAGTGGTGCGTGCGTTGTACACACACACATATATATATATATATATATATGTGCGTTGTACACACACACACGTATATATATATATATACATACACATATGCATACACCTGCACACGCATATGTACACCCACATCATCTGCATATCATACGAAAATATCATGTGTATGCATATATACACATTAACGATAAATTCTGACATGTGTATATCTGTATATCTATATATATATATGTAAGTATGTATGTATGTATGTATGTATGTATGTATGTATATGTGCGTGTGTGCATTAATGTACATATGTATGTTTATATATGTATATACACCATGTATGTAGAGACAGCTACATACATAGAGAGAGGTTTACATGCACGTACATGCGGACAGGTGGTTGTTGATCTAAATTGCTTCATCCCGGAATGACCTTTTTACCCAAAAAAACTCTAACTTTCGCAACATCATCACGGAACTTTCGCGGAGGCATATTTACACACCTTCGCAACTTAGAGCCCTGAGTTATAAGCTAAAAGATTCTCGATGCCAAGTTCTTACTGGCATTATAACTAAGAGCTTCTGGCAGGCTTCCTAGGAATTTCAGGGCTCTGTGAAAGCTACAATAGTTGGAAAGGGCTGGTTAAGGCCGTCTGAAGCCGTCTTAGGGTTTAGAGGCTGTGTGCGTGCTGCTTGTAAGGATTTGTGAAGGGGTTTTATTGAGGCTGTTAGACAGGCTTTCGTACCAACGGAGGATTGAAAAGCTTTCTTCATGGGGCTATTCCAGGGGTCGTAAGGGCTTCCTAGGAGGTGCCCCTTTCGCCAGCCACTCGCGAAATGCATCAACCATGTCCATTGGGGGGGCGGCCTTGATCTGGCTACGTCGACTTTAACGTCACTTACGCGCAAAATCCTGTACGGGAATCGAATTTTTGGGTTTGTCGGTGCTTACACTTAGGATCGACCTACCAGGTACTGCGCATAGCATGAGCCGGAGCAGTAGCAATCGCAGGTAGGACGTAAGAGGTGGGAGGTAGCAGCCGTCGGCGGTGGGTCGCATAAGGTTGTGGGTAGTAGGTATGGCAGGTTATGGCAGGTAGTGGCAGTAGTGGAGACGGTAGTAACTGTAGCAGTAGCAGCAGTAGCAGCAGTAGCAGTAGCAGCAGCAGCAGCAGCAGCAGCAGCAGCAGCAGGAGCAGGAGCAGCAGGAGTAGCAGCAGAAGAAGTACTAGTAGTAGT